TGATTATTTACTTGCTATTCTAATAAACTTAAGCACTAAATTGCAAATTTTCAAGTTTTCGCGTTAAAAACTTATCAAAGCTAATGCTAAATTGCTAAGACTCAGGCTCTAAATTTTATTAGAGCTACGGAATCAGAATAAAAATATGTCAGAAAATTGCTATAAGCAGGTTGAGGCAATCAAGCAAGAGAGTGCTTCTACAAACAAAGAGCTCGAGGAGGAGAGCAAGAAATTAAGAGAAAAATTTGAGAAAAGTGAAGAGAAATTAGCGAATTTAACGGCGGAAACGTCTAAAGCAAAAGAAGAAGCAAACAAAAATCAAGGGTTGTAATAAAATTGAACAAGATAAAATAAAATGCGATTACAACAGAATATAATCTTGATTTTTTTTTGAATATAAATCCTAAGTTACAATCAGCCGGTCCATCTAGCAGTGATGCATAGACTGTAATGGAAGACTTGTTAAGGGCCACTGCAACACAGAGTTTAAGCCGAGCAAACAAACATGTGAGCACTTCTCAATTCTCAATAGTAGCTGATTTTGATGATGATATTGAAGTGATACCCAACCGAAAAGACTCAAATTTCAAGTAGATTAAGTTACGTTATCTAGTCCATGAGTCTCAGCAAGTAATCTCAAGATGGCTTTTATAGTCTTGTTAATGATACTAAAATTAGTAGTGCTTTTGATGCTGTTAATGTTGGTATATCATTTTTTAATGACAGGGGAGGGGTAGATGTTTGAAGATAATAGCGCTTTAATTGATGAGCAAGAAGAGGAATGGAAGAAGGATTACATAACAATAATAGATAGTATAGCTTTAGAAAAGCGCTCAAGTTATTAGAATTAAGAGCGATTATCTGATCTTGATAACGACCTAAGGGGGTGGGGGGGGGGCTAAAAAGGCAAGAAGAGCATCGAGGATCACAGGTTTAAAGTAGAAATTACGATAAGCTTAAAAGCTTGGCTTAATATATCATCCTGATGTGGTATAAGGGCAAGGTATGTCTTATGAAGAAATATTAATAACCACAGCAATAAAGAATAAGAGCGTTCCTAAATTCAATATATTGAAGTATTTCAATGACAAATTTTCTCAAGAATATGATTTTAAATATAGTTCCTTCAGTAGGATAAACGTTAATTTTTTAGTAACGAAGAAAAAAACGGATGAAATAATGTATGCAACACTGAGCAAGATAAAGGGGTTGTATTATTTTAAATACGATAATTTTTTACTTAACTAAATGGGTTTTATGGTCAAGTCAACCGAGCATAAAAGGTTTCATTGCAAATAATTTTAATTGCTAGTGTAGTATACTAACTCAGGTTAAGAATTTTCAAACCAAAGCCAGTGGCGACGTCAAGCATAAATTAATCTCGTTGGCTATATCTTTCTCGCATTAGTAATGATTAGGGTTACAAGTGAAGAGATGAAGAATTTGAAAAAATCGTGCAAAAAAGTGAGGCTGTAGTGGAAAAATGGAGGCAAAAAAAAGAAAGGGCACGGAAGAAAATCGCATGGTAAAACACTAGAAGGCGAAATATTCATGCATAACACATCCATCTTTGGGATTTTTATTTAAGCCCAACGGAGACCCAGGACATTTAAAGTGCAGCCCAAGGGGGGGGGCTTGTAGAAGACTTTTGATTGGATCAATAGGGATAGGAAGCTATCGAAAGAATGTGATTTACTTATAACATCTACTGAATATTTAATATATTTGGCCATAAGTAGGGCTGTACTAAAAGGGAAATATACTTGATTAATGGTTTGTGAACAACCTTAAACCATACAGCCCCACTATATAACTATATATTATCCTCGTTTAAAGTTATTATGTGACAAGTATTACATGGATGCGCCAAAACAATATAGGAGGTGTGTAGAGTAATACAAAACAGTAAAGAGAGTATAGCAAAGCTTGCAGAGCACTATAATCTTAATCCGAAGGCTATTGTAAAATGGAAAAAACGCTCATTTGTTATAGACGCTGCAATTGGCCCAAAACATGGAAAATCAAAGATGTCAACTCAAGGGGAAGAAGCAATAATTGTCACTTTTCGCAAGCATATACTTCTTCCTTTGGACAATTGCCTTTATTCTTTGCGGGCCATAATTCCTTGTTTAACTCGGTCTAGTTTGCATCATTGTTTGCAAAGACACGGCATTAGCATACTGTCAGATGTTGAAGGAGAGATAAAAGCCAAAAAGAAATTCAAGCTATTCCTGATTTATTTATAGTTAATACTCGCCTTCATACTTTGGGAGGATGTAATTAGATCCAATTTGATAATCAGTATCATATTTAACAGGCGCATAACTAATAGAAAATTCATCTATCAATCCAGCTTTTAACATCAAGCATATATCACTTGCTTTTTGAATATCCAAAAGCAAGTGTGCGATTATGTAGAGACTAACTTTATTTTCATATATGTCTATAATATTGCCTATAGGTTCGCTAGGATCATATTGCTAAGGTAGTTTTGCCTTGTTTTCATTCGAGTTTTTCTTAAACGCTCCGGGCAAAGTTAAATCATTTTGTTTATCAACCATATTAAAAACGCTAGCATAGCGAGAAAATATACCATTTTATTCTAGATCTTCANTCTTAAACCTTGATAACATTACCTCGAGATTTCTATCTACTTTATTTTTTACTCTTCTAATGGTCTCATAATTTTTATCGACCTTTGTTTTCATCTTTAAAATAGCTTCATAATTTCTATCCGTCTTACTGTTGATGACCATAAGCATAAAAGCAATGTCCAAAAAGAAACCAGTATTGGCTGGTAGTAGACCTTGATTATTTAAAAGTAGACTTTGATTACCTAAAAGAAGGTTATGGCTTCCATCCATAACCTGATAATTTTCAGTAAAATTTCTAGTAGAAGCAGGAGCATGATCCATAACATACCCTTCTATACTTTCTAAAGGTTTGTCTTCACTCAACCCAAAGAGCCTCTGCAATGACTCAAAAATTGCATCAAAATTATGCTTGCCAAAATCCGCAATACCATTAAATTCCTTTGTTGTATAGATATTGAGGATATTATCTACAGCTGTATTATTAGTTGATTCTCTGCCCATTATAAAATTAAATAATGTTAAATATGGCTTTACTTGTAACACAGATATTTTTAGTGTCAATAGTTTTTTTATGAGCTTAAATAGTTAACAGTAACTAGACTTCTTCTGAATTACACAAATGAGCTATATTGAACGGCCTTTGTGTGAGTCTGTATTTCTGCTTTCTTCAACTTGTTTAGTGAAAGATGTTTCATTCTTATCGGTATATTTAAGTGAATTATTAATCTCATATGTCACAGCATTTGCCGCAACTAAAAATGTTTTTAATAATACACCTAATACTCCGCTGGCTGGTGTTCTACCATATATCCGAGACTGTTTTTCATTACTATCAGCAGTTTCTCCAGCTCTTCTTTTTGGATCCATTCTATTGGCAATCACAGAAAATAATACTTCCTTAATTGAATATTTAACTTGCGTCTTAATTTCATGTAGGTCTTCTGTTTTATGTTTAGCGTTCGTTAGCTCTTGCTGTTGAGTAAAAATATGGCTTAATGTTTCTTCAATGGTTTGTTTTCTTCTCTTTTCTTGTATTCTCTTGATAGAGCTTAACTTATCATGAGTATATTTTGTAGTTTTAAGTTCTACATTAATATCCTCATACGCAGCTTGGCTGTACAGAGTTTCTATTAGCCTATCTATACTACGTTTTACTTGCATAGTTCTTTCATAGCTATCCAATTTGTCAATTCCTTTATCAATCTGAGTTAAGATGTCCTCAAAATCCTTAAAGTGATCCTCAATATATTTCTGTATATATTGCTTATTTTCTTCTTTAGATTGTTCTTGTAAGATGTTGTTTTTTAGGTATTTTTCTCTTGTATCGTCGTCATTATTTTTTTTAGCATCGTCATTTTTTTTCAAAAGATCTTCATCGCTCATAATCTTATACGCCAAAAACTTTATCAATTGTCATTGTATTTGAATTAAATTAAATTAATACTAAGAGATATCCTTAAAAATCCACTAGCAGTAGCAAATTTCATTGCTAAATTCATAGCGTCACCCCTTATGGGGTTAAAAAACTTCAAGGTAAAACTTAGAGCGGGAAGCGCGTTAAGTTAAAGTCGGGTTAACCATGGAAGTATTAAGAGAGTATTAAATAAATCGTACATGTCAAGTTAAGCAGGTGGAGCGTGTTAGTGATAAAACTGCCATCAACACATATACTAATTGGCTACTCTCTCACTACCCGCAACTGAATTACGCCTTTTACTGATATGTTGTTTAGTTGAGCATTGGCTTCTGCGGGATTTTTATCCAACACTTGATTTATGATCTTTTCTAATGTAGTAGCAATCATTTTTAGCGGAGGCTTTAAAAAAAAAGCTTTTTTGGGTACTTATAACGTTACTGAAGATGCCGATCTAGGTTTGAGTCTTGCACAAATGGGCTGCAAAGCTAAGATGATTGATTCATAAACTTTAGAAGAGTCTCTCACTCCCATATTTATCTGTATTAAGCAAAGAGCACGTTGGATTAATGACGCATGCAAACTTATGTTTTTTGTCTAAATATAATAGAATTGAGAGGGTGTTACTGTTGAGTCTGCAGCATTTATATTCTTCACTACTACATTTNATTTATTTATACCCAATACTCGCCTTCATACTTTGGGAGGATGTACATTTGATGCTGCAAGATGTAGCGGAGCTAAATCATTTTTTCCTTTTATATTCACTTCAGCGCTATTGGTGGATAACAACTCCAGAGCAATGTTTTCTCTTTTAAATTCTATAGCTAGATACTCAATAGTTCAGCCCTCAGATGATCGCGCATTAATATCAGTTATATCATCTCGTAATGAGGAGATAATGACATTACTTTTGCCACAAGAAGCAGCAATATGCAAAGGAGTGTAAGCTCTTCTGTCTTGTGCATAACCTCAGTACCTGCAACTTACATTAAATTATTCACAGTATTTGTGTGACCTTTTTTAGTAGCAAGATGCAAAGCTATATCTCCTAAATCGGTTTTTGCGTTAACATCCGCGCCACCATCCAACAAGCACTTAATAAATTCCATATCCAATTAGCAGCTATATGAATGGAAGCATAACCATTTACATCTCTTGCATTAATATCAGCACCTTTACTCTTCAAAGTTGCTATGGCATAATGGTTGCCAATTATCACGGCAGCACGGATTACCTGTCTACCTTTTCATGCCTAGTATCAATATAGGATCCATTTTAAGAAAAAACCTCCATTTCATCCATGGCAACTCTTCATATTGAGTGGCCTTTATGTGGGTTTGTATTTTTGCTTTCTTCAACTTGTTTAGTGAAAGATGTTTCATTCTTATCGGTATATTTAAGTGAATTATTAATCTCATATGTCACAGCATTTGCCGCAACTAAAAATGTTTTTAATAATACACCTAATACTCCGCTGGCTGGTGTTCTACCATATATCCGAGACTGTTTTTCATTACTATCAGCAGTTTCTCCAGCTCTTCTTTTTGGATCCATTCTATTGGCAATCACAGAAAATAATACTTCCTTAATTGAATATTTAACTTGCGTCTTAATTTCATGTAGGTCTTCTGTTTTATGTTTAGCGTTCGTTAGCTCTTGCTGTTGAGTAAAAATATGGCTTAATGTTTCTTCAATGGTTTGTTTTCTTCTCTTTTCTTGTATTCTCTTGATAGAGCTTAACTTATCATGAGTATATTTTGTAGTTTTAAGTTCTACATTAATATCCTCATACGCAGCTTGGCTGTACAGAGTTTCTATTAGCCTATCTATACTACGTTTTACTTGCATAGTTCTTTCATAGCTATCCAATTTGTCAATTCCTTTATCAATCTGAGTTAAGATGTCCTCAAAATCCTTAAAGTGATCCTCAATATATTTCTGTATATATTGCTCATCTTCTTCTTTAGATTGTTCTTGTAAGCTGTTGTTTTTTAGGTATTTTTCTCTTACATCGTCGTCATTATTTTCTTCAGTATTGTCGTTTTCTTTAAAAAGATCTTCATCACTCATAATTTTACACGCCAAAAACTTCACCAATTGTCATTGTATTTGAATAAAATTAAATTAACGTTAAGAGATATCCTTGCAAATCCACTAGCAGCAGAAAATTTCATTGCTAAATTCACAGGGCTATCCCTTAATGAAGTTAAAAAACTTCAAGATGAAAAGCATCGCCTTACTCACTAGCTTCGACAATAAAACTGCCATCAATTTTGAAAGAGATATTTTTTTAC